AGGATTTGGGGAAGCAAGAAATAAAATTAGAGAATAATTAGCTTTTAATTTCTCTCTAGAAACCACATACTGGTGACGGCAAGGAGAGGGCTCATATACAGGATACAGACAAACAAGTCGGCCTTGATCACTTCCAACCTTTGCATTTCTAATTACTTCAAGATTCTATGCGATAACTACGATTGAGTTCATGACTTAAGGAATGATCTAGTCTGGGTAACTTTCACGCAGCAAACTTCTTGTGCAGATTTTAACCAGGCTGGCTATGAACTGTCTTGTTTTTGTTTTTATCTTTTAATTGGAAATGAGCTTTTGTTCCTCCTGTCCATGTATTTTGCATTTGTGGACTCAAAAAATTTGTTTCCTGTAGGATAGATATATATGGGCGGCTCAAGGTATCTAAGATTAAATTGTGCTTACATTGAAAGCATAGCAATAAGCCCCAAACTGAGAACAAAGCACATAATATTGCTTAAAACTCACTAGTTCAGCTTTATTTTAAAGAGATACTCACCCTTTTGGCTGATGCTATCACTGCAAAACAGGCGATAATTGTGAGTCCAATCATTATGTAACAAGCTTTTACTCGAGCTTTGTTTCTTGCAGCATCTATCATTTCTGGCCTAAACCAAGATATGCATTCTGTTAATCATATTGAAGTAGTAGTATTTTCTGACTGGCATGATAGATAATCATTTGTTATGTAAATATTACAAAAACATCTCTGAATGCAAACTGCAGATGTGGAAGACATCCAACTGCTAGCCCATTTATGTTACCAATTTCAAATTAACAGGTATATTAGGTCTTTTTTTTTTTCAAAATGTTTTATTTATTTCTAGGAGAGAGATAGAGACAGCATGAGCAGGGGAGGGTCAGAGAGAGAGGGAATCACAGACTCTGAAACAGGCTCCAGGCTCTGAGCTGGCTGTCAGCACAGAGCCCGACGCGGGGCTCGAACCCACGAACCGTGAGATCATGACCCAAGCGAAAGTCGGACGCTTAACTGACTAAGCCACCCAGGCGCCCCAGGTATATTAGGTCTTAATTAATGTTAGTCACCATGAAACCACAGTGTAGTATATTTAGTTTCTTGTCTTTTATAATGTTTTTTTTAATCTTTATTTTTATTTATTTTGAGGGAGAGATAGAGAGTGAGCGGGGAGGGGCAGAGAGAGAAGGAGACAGAATCCCAAGCAGGCTCCACACTGTCAGTGCAAAGCCCGATTTGGGCTCTAACTCATGAACCGTGAGATCATGACCTGAGAAGAAATCAAGAGTCGGATGCTAAACTGACTGAACTTACCAGGCTCCCCAGTATATTTAGTTTCTAACTGCTAAAAGTATAATTACTAGAGATTATGGCCTGACTTGCATCATTTTTTTTTCTTCACAGATAAGGGTAAAGGTAAAGACTTAACCTTATACATGTCTCAAATTATTTGAGTTCATTCAGTCCCTCTGTTATTAAGTGGGCTTCATTCTTAGTTTTTGTTTTGTTTTGTTTTGTTTTTTTAATTTTTTTTTTAATGTTTTATTTATTTCTAGGAGAGAGAGAGAGAGACAGCGTGAGCAGGGGAGGGTCAGAGAGAGAGGGAGTCACAGACTGAAACAGGCTTCAGGCTCTGAGCTGGCAGTCAGCACAGAGCCCGACGCGGGGCTTGAACCCACGAACCGCGAGATCATGACCTAAGCGAAAGTCGGATGCTTAACCGACTAAGCCACCCAGGCGCCCCAACTTCATTCTTAGTTTTAAACAGGATGTTTTTTAAAACTCTTTTTCATCGTTTTGTTTTCTCACTAGCCTCTGGAGATGACTATTAAAGAAAAGGTGTTTCCTTTGTGGCTTTTGCATAAAGTTATCAAAAGAAGTGATCAAAATCACAAAGATTTGTTAAAGAAAAAGATAAACCATCTTCCTATTATTATTCTGAAATTTTAAATACTTGCTTGAATAATGAGTAGTCTTATTTATTAATAAAGTTATAGGCAAATTGTTTAATGTTACTTAACAAAGCAGTGTTACAAAAGTAATCATCATGCCTCTGGACCTTTTATACTGAAATAAACTTTTACAATTTGGAATGATATGAAGTGAAAGTTTACAGATACACATAATTAAAGAATGATTCTTGAGAATGTATTCAGCAGTATTCTGTCTTATCTAATGTAAAGTGTAAATAGAATGTAGTTACACTGAAAAATTCAGAAAGACAGGTTGCAATTTCTCTTAAAAATGAAAAAAAAATTTAACTTTTCCACCAATTTAAAGGGCACAGAAAACCAATATCTGGGGCACCTGGGTGGCTCAGTTGGTTGGACATCCGGCTTCGGCTCAGGTCATGATCTCACGGTTCGTGGGTTCGAGCCCCACGTTGAGCTCTGTGCTAACAGCTAGCTCAGAGCCTGGAGCCTGCTTCAAGATTCTGTGTCTCCCTCTCTCTCTGACCCTCCCCTAATCACGCTGTCTCTCTCTGTCTCTCAAAAAAATAAATAAAAACATTAAAAAATAAAAAAAAACAATATCTAACTCTTTTCCTTAGATTTTCGAGAGATTAATGTACGTTTTAAGATGTTAGTTGTAAACAGGTGAACATATGAAGACATTATTAGATTATGTTTGTTGCTGACTTTTGTTCCAGATGGAGCCTAAAAGATATGATCATTTTTACCCATCCATCTGGCTTTGATCTGCTATGCCAAATTAGTTTAGCACTGCAAAAAGAAGAAAAAGCACAGTTATTATTAAATATCATTAGTGTATGGTACAAAGATTATAGGTCACTCATTAATTATATACCCATTAAGAGCATACACAGTGAAAGCTGTTTACACTGTAAGTCTAACAGTTAGTTTAGGAGGCATATCCCTCCTAAAACAGCAGTGCTTTAAAAATACATATATAGAAAACAGCAAAATAAATATTCAACGATTTTCAGGTTTCTGACCCCAAACTACAATTTCTTTCTTAGACATCTTATTCAAAGTTAAGTTCTCCTGTTTATAACTATTCTTTTGACTATGGTCCTGGGGAAATTAAATTATTTCTGTAAAATGAGTCTCCTTACACATAGAGCTATATCAATGCATTGCTGGGTCTATTGTGTTTTGACCAGCATTAATTTACAATACTTTACATTTTTCTTCTTTTTTAGTTATCAGTTTATTTGTTTTTATTTATTATTGCAGTACTGATTATTGTTACAGCACTAAAACTCGGAATTCCAAAAAATTAAGGATGTTGTTTTAGCTTTTCTGAGGATAATTTCCGCTTTGGGCTAAGTCTGTAGTCTGCAGTCTATAGATGTCAAGGAAAACATTATTTGTTTTATAATATTAAGAAATGTCTCTGTGGTTGAATAAATGCTAAATACAGATTTCAAATTCTGTTATTTTCAAATGCCATGTCCATTCCTCATTGAATAATTTGATCCAAGAAAGGGATAAAAATGTTTGAGAATTCATTATTGAATGAGCATTTTCCACCACATTTTTTTCCCATTTATTTGAGATGCTTTTGGTAACTAGTAAATAAAAAGTAATAAAAATGTAGACAATTATACCTGAAACTTATGTAACATGTGTGTCAACTATACTTCAATGAACAAAATTTAAATTTAAATTTAAAAAAGTGTAGGCAACGGGTCTAATGTTAGGTGTCTGACATTAGCTCAGGTCACGTTTTCACCATTGTGGGTTCCAGCCCCTACCTCGGGCTCCATGCTAACAACAGCTGGGAGCCTGGAGTCCGCTTCAGATTCTGTGTCTCCCTCTCTCTCTGCCCCTCCCCCGCTCACACTCTGTCTCTCAAAACAGAACCGCTACCTTGGGTTTGGGATGGTGAAGAGGTCAGCAATGGTGGTGCCCCAGAGTCCCAGCCTGAGTACCCCCTGCGCCCAGTGGGCCGCAGAGCCCTGTACATCAGGTGTCTCCCGCCCCAGGATAGGAGGTCCTATGGATGGGGCTTCCTCCCAGAGACTCTCTAGCTCTCCCGGGACCCAGGATCCTTGGGTGGAGCAGGGATCTGTTCCGCCGGCAGAACCCCTCTCCCTCTATGGGGACTCCGCCCTGAGTGCACGCGTGGACGATGCCTTCCGTGCGGCTTAAGAGCTTCGCGGCCTTGCGACTCGGAGCTCGCTGGGGGCGGGTATCCGGGCAACGGTGAAAGTGCCCACGGAACTTCTGAGTTTTCACCCAAGTTCAACAATCTCCCTGTAAGCTTATGTGTCCCCTGTCCAAGTCAAGGAACTCGACATTTAACCTCACTAGGCGGAGGCTGGGGAGGCACATTCCTTACGCGGGTAGGTGTTGGTGGAGCCCTGCGGCAGCCTTCGCTCCAGGGCAAGCCCAGGTGAGGAGGTGGGTGGACCCCGCACCCCCTACAGGCGAAGAGGCCAGGCCGCGGCACAGCCACACTTACGGGATCCGAGACGGGATGTCCTCCATCGTCTTGAAACGCCCGGTCCACAGCAGGATTTTCTTGTCGAATTGAGAAGGCTTGTACTCGGCGGGGACCCGGTGGACCTTCCCTGCTGCAAAGCGACAGGGGTGGGTGGACAGAGGAACCGACAGACCGACGGCACAGTGGCTCCAACTCCCTCCCTCACCCGAGCCCCGGCTCCACGCCCGCCGCTCCGCACCCCCTCCCTCCCAGGTCGTTCCCCGTCAGGGCTCCCCCGGACCTTGGGGCCCAGAGCCGCTGGGGGCCCGGCTGCTACAGGAGCGGGACAGACCCGGAGGCCGCGGGGGCGTGATGGCCCGCCGCGCGGCTTCTGCTTGCGCTCCCGGGGCGCGACGGAAGATGCGCCCCAGGCCGAGGCGCAGGGGGCCCCCGACAGCCGCGAGCATGCTGCGCCCCTTCCCGCGCTCCCAGCCGCCGGCGAGGACTGCTCCAGCTCCCCGGCCCGCCCCGCCCCGCCCCGCCCCGCGGCGCTCCCAAGGGAGACCCCGAAGCGCAGCTGCAGCCTCCAGCAAGCGCACACTGGCTCCGGGTCTCCGCCCCCGCCCGCGACCCCGGACCCGGGCGCCACGACCCTGGGGGCCGATTCTCTCCCGGGCCGGGCCGGGCCGGGCCGGGCCGGGGGTGGGGTGGGGGGGCGGTCTGCCTCTGCTGGAAAACTCTCGTAGCCGACTCACCACCTCCTGAGACTGCTCCCTGAAGCTCGTTTTAAAGGCGTTTCTTTGCACCGAGTAGAAACTTGTTGCCTTCAGCCTTTCACCCTTTGGTTCCACTGTTTGACGCCGAGAGAATCAACCTAAACCCTCTCCTCCAGGAAGAACCAACAGTCCTTCAAGGGCAGGCCAGGCCAGATGTTTTCCAAGTAAGTGTGAGGACGTTGAACACACTTCTGAATTCCCCATGAAGACAGATTTTGAAGATGGCTCCTCACCCCCCACTCCACTCCCAGACTGTTCCTCTTTTCTGGGCAAAACAGCCCAAGTTGCTAGAATTTATTTTTCTGTATCTCTTCACTTCTTCCTAAGACCGCAGACCCTCCAAATGTTCTTCAAAATGAGCCTTTCTTCTATCTTCCACCGTCTTCCCTCTGCAAAAAAGGGGGAAGGTCTGGCATCAGACTGGAAACAGGGACTCAGAAAAAGGGCTTGTAGGAAAGCTTCTATTCTGAAAGAATTTACCTATTCTGTTTACTCATCTTCCAGGGGCAGCAGACCCCAGCCAGGGGAAGGTGCTCTTCGGGACCCAGCACCAGGCCCAGCTCACCCTCCTCCTGTTGCCTTTCTCCCTGAGCTTCCTTCCACAGCCACACACTCACGGCCTCACATTTTTAGTTGGATCTCCACATCTTTCCTTTCCTCCTGACGAGACTGTCAGGATCTTGAAAGCAAGATCTCTGTAACTCCATGTGTCTTCACATAACAGTGTTTAACAAAAGAAAAGATTCCCACCTTTGTTCAGAAATATGCATTTAAGGGGGTGGGCTTTGCCTTCATATAAAGGTTGAAACCCCTGATTTATGACTAAAGAGTTCCACATTCATGAGCAAATCATTTATGCCATCAGTTTTGGTTTCTTTGTAAAAGAATTCCTACTCTTGAAGTTCATTCATGCAATGACTAAAAAAACCCCTACCAAATCCCAGCTACTTTTCAGAGTTGGGGATAGAGCACTGAACAAGGTCAAGTGGGGATTAGTAGATAAAGAAACAAATAGCAGATACGGTGGGGGAGGGGGAAGGGGGGTGATGGGCATGGAGGAGGGCACCTGTGGGGATGAGCACTGGGTGTTATATGGAAACCAACTTGACAATAAACTATTTTTAAAAAATCGGTGCAAAGGAATACATTTAAAGACTTATTGTTTTTTAAACAAAAAATAGCAGGGTGGGGGGAAAAAGTAAGCAGGGGTGGAGTGGAAGCTACTTGGAAAGGATGGCTAGGGACATGCCATATGTACCTGGCATATAATAACATTTCAAAAGATGTTCTCATTTCTTCTTCACAGCTTTTGTTTCACTAGTCTCACAACACAAGGATATTTTAATTTGTGAAATCTCATGTGGAGAATTGTAGGAGGCTATGATGCTCCAAAAGGTAAGGATTTTGTTTTATTCACCACTGTATCCCTAGGATGTAGCTGAAAATTGACACTTAGTAGATACTCAGTAAGAATTTGTTAAATGAATGTAATTCTTCAATAATAGATTCGGTCTGGGCTAGTTAAGAAAAGACTAAAGTACTTGATGATATGCTACACAATGAACTGAATGAATTCCTGCTTGACAAAGCACATTGTCACAGATAATATTTGATTGTTTCAGGAATATACTACTGAAAATTCTCCCATTATGCAAATGTGTTATTTTTCCTTTTAAGTTTTTATTTTTTCTTTGTGTTTCAGAGAAGAAATATCCATAGAGCTAGAGAAAAACACCTCTGGGAAACAACAGTTCATTAACAGTTCATTGAAGTGCATTAAACTATCCAAGTAAGTTTACTTCCCTGGAAAGAATCAAATGTCAAGCATATACACATGATTTTCTATCTCAAGCTTCTCTAAAATTGCAGAGCGACAGAACAAGAGAATAAGAGATTCTGTCATGAGAAAAAGAACAATTTGCATTCTATTTCCTATTCCTTATGGGATTAAAATATCACTGTTTGGCAGTAGTCATAAAATACAGCTGTATGAGATGTTTTCTTCAGTTCTGGAGTTGGACCAAATTAAAGAAAACAAAACAAAACAACTGCAAATCAACTTCTGATGAAGAAAAAGCTAATTGTAGTTAATTGTACTCCATTCTTTCCTTTCCTTTCTTTTCTTTTCCTTCCCTTCCCCCTTTCCTTCCCCCTTCCCTTCCCTTCCCTTCCCCCTTTCCTTTCCCTTCTCTCCCATTCTCCTGCCTTCCCTTCCCTTCCCTTCCCTTCCCTTCCCTTCCCTTCCCTTCCCTTCCCTTCCCTTCCTTCCCTTCTTCAACCAGGACAGCTTATATATTCATTTAACAAATAGGTACCGAGTGCCTCCTATGGGTTGAGCACTGTTCTAGGATCTGAGGTGACAACAGGTAAGCAAATCACAATCTTTGCTCCTTACAGAACTTAGCGTTAATCCATGATAGTTTTAGTTTACCCATTCTGAACTATATTATATTATTTGTTCAATCCCTTGATTCATCTGATTTGTATGTACTATTTTCAGTTTTGTTCCTTCAAGGCTTGTTTTTGATTGGTATGGTTTATCTTTTCATTTATTACGGTTAGTTTCCTCTTAAGATATACTGTTAAAGCTAGGAATGCATGCTTTTCATGTTTATTCTTTTCTGAGAGAAACAGAGCATGAGTGGGGGAGGGGCAGAGAGAGAAAAGGAAACACAGAATCTGAAACAGGCTCCAGGCTCCAAGCTGTCAGCACAGGGCCCAGTGCCCAGTGCGGGGCTCGAACTCACAAACTGTGAGATCATGACCTGAGCCACAGTTGGACACCTAATCAAGTGAGCCACCCAGGGGCCCTGAAATGCATTTTAAATAAAGTTATTGTATACACTGAGTGGAAAGTGTGGTTTTTGTTTTGTTTTGTTTTGTTTTGTTTTTTGAGAGAGAGAGTACAGACAAACAGGGGAGGGACAGAAGAAGAGGGAGAGAGAGAAATCTTAAGTAGGCTCCATGCCTAGCATGGAGCCCAATGTGGGGCTTGATCTCATGACCATGGGATCAAGACCTGGGCTTAAATAAAGAGTCGGACATTTATTTATTTATATATATGTATTTATTTATTTATTCTTTTATAGTTTATTGTCATGTTGGTTTCCATATAACACCCAGTGCTCATCCAAACAAGTGCCCTCCTCCATGCCCATCACCCACCTTCCCCTCTCCCCCACCCACATCAGCCCTCAGTTTGTTCTCAGTATTTAATACTCTCTCATGGTTTGCCTCCCTCCCTCTCCCCAATGATTGTTTTCCCCTTCTCCTCCCCCATGGTCCTCTGTTAAGTTTATCCTGTTCCACGTATAAGTGAAAACATATGGTATCTGTCTTTCTCTGCCTGACTTATTTCGCTCAGCATAACAGCCTCGAGTTCCATCCATGTTGCTACAAATGGCCAGATTTCATTCTTTCTCATTGCCATGTAGTATTCCACTGTATAGATAAACCACATCTTCTTGATCCCTTCGTCAGTTGATGGACACTTAGGCTCTTTCCATGATTTGGCTATTGTTGAAAGTGCTGCTATGAACATTGGGGTACATGTGCTCCTATGCATCAGCATTTCTGTATCCCTTGGGTAAATTCCTAGCAGTGCTATTGCTGAGTTCTACTGTTCATTTTTTGAGGAACCTCCACACTGTTTTCCAGAGGGGCTGCACCAGTTTACATTCCCACCAACAGTGTAGGAGGGTGCCCGTTTCTCCACATCCTCGCCAGCATCTATAGTCTCCTGGTTTGTCCATCTTAGCTAAAGAGTCAGACATTTAAACCAACTGAGTCACCTAGGCATCCCAAGTGTGGGTAAATTTTAAATTGTTTAATTATTATTATGTATTATCAAGAACTACTGTGTTGTTTGCCACAGGGCTAAGGCAGGAGATGCCACCATTACTGCAAAGCTGTTCCTGAGAAGATTCTTTCTGGCTAGGATGATAGTCCCTCATCAGAAAATGCCTTGCTTCCTAGTGAGGGGTGGGACAAGACCTAAGCTAATGTGTTTTCCAGTGAAACACATTATTTCCTATGAATCTTTCTGTAGGGAAATTTCTAAAGTGACAGTTTACCTGCAGACACAACTCACTTTAGTGTCCAGTGCTTCAGGCAACCTTATCTAAGTAGATCCAGGTGAGAGCCCAGTGACTCAATAGATATTGAGTATAGGTTTAATACACAAGCAGAAACTCAAAATGAGATCTGAAAAACCATTAATAAGATCCTACATACAGATCTTGTTGTTCCTCTTAATTCCCTGTTTCATTGCTATAGTTCAGTCTTTCATTCTCTCTCAACCATGCTGTTGGAATGACCTCCAAAGCATTTACCTCGTATCTGGTCAATTCTTTCTGCAACCCTTTCTCTAGTCTCCAGAGATAGTTTTCTAAAACATGAGTGCAATCATGTAAACCTTCATGGGACCAGTCTCATCCATATTCCCTCTCTGACCCTGCACTCTGTGTCCCTATCCACAGGCTACAAAGAGGAACCTGAAAAAAATCATAAGGCAGGGAGGACTCTTTCAAAGTCTCCTGCTTTGATATTCTTCATGATGTGGCTCACGTTCTCTGTCTTTGTCATATCCCTAGACATTTAAAATGTCACTAACCACAGGTCAGTAGGTCACATAGAATTATTGTGTGCTAATTCTGATGCACAATAGCTCTCAATTAACATCACAGTTTAGTTCTGGCTTGGACCATTGGGTCGGCACTGTGTGTGTAACTCAGTGCATAGCTGAGTTCTGACTAGTTGAGTCGCTCATTTTCCCACTGTCCTAAACATTACTCTGAGAAATACTTTAGAAGAAAGCAGGAAACTGCTCCTGCACTGTTCGAAACCTTTTCTATGTCCAATGACACATACCATTTATTTGTCCTGGAAATAGCAGATCTGAAATGCATGCATATTTATTAACTACTGTGTATGCAGACTGCCCAGAATAGTCATTGAAGGGACATATGCCATGCCCATGTCTCTCACATTCTTTGGCTGAAAGGTTATTTTTGTAGTCTACTTCAATGTCTATTAAGACTGTTTCATGTGTCAGATTGTATGCAATTGCCTAATCACCTTGTAGTGGGACAGCCTCTGGTCCACAGTGATCAATTTCAAACTCCAAAATTCCTGGTAACAATCCTGTGTGACAAAGTTAGTATTTTAGGAGCTGAAGAACTGAATCTTATATAGACGTTTCAGATTTGAGGCACAATAATAACTATGTGATTCAAGTCTACATGCTTTGATAGAGTTTTGTGATGACTTACTAGTGTTTTCCTAGCTCCTTGTCCCACACAATCTTTCTCATACACATATAGAGAGAGTGGTCTTACAAAAATGAATCAGACTCATTATAAATGCATAATATAATACCTTTCATAGTTACAGTTAAAGAAGGTTGTTCTTCATAATGTGAATGATGCCACCCTAAATTCCCTTGAGATAATTATCTCTTATCCTACATGTATTTGTACACTTCTTCATCTGCTTCTCTCATCTGCTTATTTCTCTCTTGACTTATAAAGCTCATGTTATCTTAGAAATTGGGAAATGGTGGGTGCCTGGGTGGCTCAATTGGTTGAGTGTCCAACTCCTGATTTCAGCTCAGGTCATGATCCCAGGGTCATGGGATTGAGCCCTGCATTGGGCTCTACACTCAGCATGGAATCTATTTAAGATTCTCTCTCTCTCTCTCTCTCTCTCTCTGCCACTCTACCCCACTTGTGTGCTCTCTCTCTAAGAAAAGAAAAGAAAGGAAAGGAAAGAAAAGAAAAGAAAAGAAAAGAAAAGAAAAGAAAAGAAAAGAAAAGAAAAGAAATTGGGAACTGGTCTGTTTGAATGTTTTGTCTATTCAGGGATTTAAAAAATCAACATATCAAAAGAATTTTCTTTTTTCTATTTTAAACCTTTACTTGGGGGTACTTATACTTTCTGATTTCCAGTGTGAAATATAAACATACCTAAGCATAGCCTAGTATAGCTTGAAAGGGCAGTGATGAACTTCTGTTGTTATTGATACTTCTCATTACACCATTATCTGCAAATGGAAACAATTATTATTTATGATCATGATAATGAAGATTTACAACAGAGTTTGTTACAGGTGATGAGTGCAAATCATTTAAATTATCAGAACTCTCCAGAAAGAGGTCTGGGTTGGATTAAAGGACCAAACTCTATGGAAGGTTTTTAAGGTTGAAACTGAATAACCTAACAGAATGTTATAAAGGTTAAAAACCAGCTGTTTTATTTGTTCATTAATTTCTTCATTCTTTTCTCAACCAGAAACTGTATATTAAATATCTATTCTCCTGGTTTTGGAATTTTCATAATTATATCCTCTGCTGCAGTGAGGATTCTTGACATATCTCCTGGGGTGTACGTGTAATCGTTTGTCTTGGGTGTTTACCTAGAAGCAAACTTTCTGAATCTAGGAATCATCTCATTTTAGAAATTAAATGTCTAATTTAGTGTCATGATAAATATTCTGTGCTTTATTTAAAATGAAACTGGCCTCCCTCTCTGAGCTCAAGTCTGTTTCAAGCTAGAAGACTGCCATGGAGAATGGGTGTGTGTGTGATCAGTTTCTTATCTATCGCCTCCCTGCTTTATGCTTCTCTTCAACTTCTAATTGGTCCTACCTCTCATTTCCTTTACTAGGCCCCCTAGGGCTCCCACAAATTTGGAAAGGAGAAGGGGCAGGAGGAGAGGAAAGGGACAAGAAAGGTCTTAGTTGACAGATTGTGTGTGTGTGTGTGTGTGTGTGTGTGTGTGTGTGTGATCTGAT